TAACTATTATTGTTGTTGCTGCTGCTGTTAATAATAATGGGATGACTACAATTAATGGAATTTTATTAATCCACCACTCTAGGATAGGATATACTTACCTGCAGTCTTTTTTTTCTTTTTCTTTTTTTTTTTTGGTTAGGCAGTACTGTTAAGTGACTTGCCCAGGGTCACACCTCTAGTAAGTGTTATGTGTATGAGGCTGACTCCAGGGCCGTGCTCTATCCACTGCACCACCTAGCTGCCCCAGTGGTGGTCTTCCTTATACAATACCCTACACCTTCTTTTTGGTTTGACACATTAGTGACTCTAATAGGAATTTCAGGCCTTCTATGGCAGAGCCTTTCCAATCCCACCTCCTATCATATAAGTAAGTCTCCTCTCCTGCCACTCAGTGTCGTATTTTTATCCTCAAATCTTAGCACAGCGCTTGGCAATGTTTCTTTATCACTCACTAATTTATTCCATTACAAGTATAGTACAAGGTAGGGAGAGATGCTGGCAAAGAAGAAAGTCAGACAACATGCTCCAGGAAAAGAGGAGGAAATAATACTTCTTAAAGGTTAAATCATTTTCAAGCAAATTCTTAAATCTCACTTTCTGAAGAAAATCAGATTAGATAATGGATTCCCTTTCTCCCCTCTCCTGCTTCTGAACTGTTTTAGTTCAGTAATCATCTTTTTATCCTTTCAGTTCATCCCCAGATATCTTCACAATCTCCCAAACTCTCATATTATTTAGCAAACCTGAGGCTGACCTTTGCATTCCCACCCCTTCACTGCAGGCTGGAGGAATGCAATGTCACGCATGCATGCATATGATATCTGAAAGAGTCCAGAGAAACCCTCAATGCCCATGGGCGGCATGACTTGAACATTCCTGCAGTCAGGAGGGCTGATCCTGCCGCTAACCAGCTAAGTGACTGGAGGCAAGTCATGTCACCTCCCTTTCTCAGCCTGTAAAACCTGGGGATTAGACTAAATCTCTAAGGTCCCTGGGGGAGAAAGAATTGGTGAGAAAGGCCTTTTAATATTTATGGTTCTATGGACAGCAGTTTTCCATCTACCTTGAAGGAAAAAAAGAATTCCTCTGTTTTGAATATCAGCTGCATGCTAAGAACTCTGAAATTAAGGAGAATTGGTATCTTACATGGTGGTTGTAGTCCTTTGTTCTTGAAAAGGACCAAAATGGCATCACTATGCTAGAGTCAAGTTTCAGCGTGTCTGACTGTGGCTGATCAGACCAATATTAGGTCAGAATGCTCTACCACAGGTCGGGCACAAATAGTCTGAGTGAACATTTTGGGGTGGATTCTCCAAATTTGCACATCCTGCATTTTCTTCGAGCTGTTTCAATTCTGCTTTGCTCATAGAGCACAGCACCTTCTCTAATGTGGACATGCCATGCTGAGAAGTCCTCTGTCAGTGTCTGCCATGTCACAAATCAATTCCAAAGTTCTTAAGAGAGACCTTGAGCGTGTCCTTGTACCACTTCTTGTGGTCACCATGTGAACACTTGCCCTGTGTGAGTTCTTCATAAAATATTCTTTTTGGCAAGCAAACGTTCTGCATTCGAACAACTCGGACAGCCCGTCAAAGTTGTGCTCTCTGAAGCAGCGTTTGAATGCTTGTAAGTTTAGTTTGAGAAAGGACCTCAGTGTCTGGTATCTTATCCTGCCAGAATCTTCCTAAGACAATTCAAATGGAAGCTATTCAGTTTCCTGGCATGGCGCTAGTAGACTGTTCAGGTTTCACAGGCATACAATGAAGTCAGCACAATGGCTCTGTAGACCTTCAGTTTGGTATTCAGTCTAACACCTCTTCTCTCCCATACTTTCCTTTGGAGCCTCCCAAATCCTGAGCTAGCTCTGGCCAATATGTGCATCAACCTCATTATCAATGTGTACTTCTCTGAAAAGTGCACTACCAAGGTAAGTGACCTTATCCACAGCATTCAAGACTTCTCCATTTGTTGTAACCCAATAGTTCCAAATATGGGTGGTATGGTGGTGGCTGATGGAGCACCTGTGGGTTTTTTTTTGATGTTAATTATTAGGCCAAAATTAGCACAAGCAGCAGAGAATTGATCCATACTTTGTTGCATCTCAGCTTCAGAGTCTGCATTGAGCACACAGTCATCTGCAAACAGAAAATTATGCACCAACACTCCCTTCACTTTGGTCTTGGCTTGTAGCTTTTTCAAATTGAAGAATTTATTATCAGTGTGGTAACTGACCTTGATGCTCTGGCCTGATTATGGAGGCAGGTGGGAATCCCATTTTGTGGTTGAAACACACAAAAAAATACATAAAAAACATTTGCAAAGATGATTTCACTCATCATAGGCATATGGAATGTGCACATACTTATAGACAACACAAAATCCAGACTGAAAGACAAACAGCTCTTGTTGCAAGAGAGCCTAGCAGGTATCACATCTAAATAGCAGCCCTGAGTGAAATAGGGCAGGCAAATGAAGGCCAGCTTACTGAAGATGGAACTGGATACACGTTTTTCTGGAGTGGCCGCAGTGAAGGGGAGTGCCATGAAGCTGGTGTAGGTTTTGCAATCAAAACTAATTTAGTTGATATCTTATATACTTTTAACTTAACTATCAGCTACACTGTATTAGCATGGTACCTGTTACATAATAAATAATAAATGCTTGCTTTATTAATGAATCTATCTAGCTATGTATGTGTGTATGTGCGTATGCATGTATGTATGTACCTATCAATCCATGTATGCATATATGTATGTAACCATTCATCTATGTATGTTTGCATATATGTATGTGTGCATATGTCTCTATCTATCTATCTATGATGCTCTGTATGTAATGAGGAGAGTATTTCTTGTCAGGGGCAGCTAATGACATGAAGTCATGTTATTCATGGCATACACTAAACTTGGCAGAGGACCAGAGAGATCAATGCCTTTGCATGGCAGTACTTTCACACTACATTTCCTCTTCGTAATGAATATCTTAAAACCTATCAAAATTTGGTGCGCCCCAATTTTTTCATGGCAAATTTCACCATCAATTCAACTGCTTCTTAGTGTCCATCAATAGGGGGAAAATATGGTATTGTGAATATTTTTATAATAGATAAGCCCACAAAGTTACTTTGATGAAGAGCCATAATATATAATTTATGATAATGTAAGTAAAACATAATGTTTCAGTTAAGTTGTTGCTCAGTCTTGCAAACAACAGATTGTTTTTTAATTCACACAGAACTATTTTAACCTAATAGCAATGTTTTCATGAACATTAGCTCTTTCCATATCACTAGGTCTGTTACATTAGGGCGTTCAGGAGCTTCCAATCTCAGCCAAGTCCTTACAAAATTAGGTGTGTTCAGAAGCTTACGAAGAATTTGGAACTACATTCATATCAGATGAGAAAATCTTTGAGAAACTACCCTGTAAGAATCATTTCCAGAAAACAAATGAACTCTGTATCATCACTGTTTTCCAGTGCAGCATCTCCTGCTAGCCTTATCCCCATCCCAGTCTTTTCCCCAGCCACTTGGAAAGGTGCAAAGATAAAGAGAGAGAGAAATTAGATAGACAGATAGACAGACAGACAGACAGACAGATAGATATACAGGCACTTTTGTAGTACAAAGCAAAGAATATTAAACAAAGAGGATGTCATTAAATGAGCAAGGGCTAAATAAAACATGGCATATAAATGGAGTGATATAAGAAATGGTAAATACAGTAAATTCAGAGAACCACAGAAAGTCATGTGGACTGATGCAAAGTGAAGTGAGCAAAACCAGGAAAACATGACTACACCAACTTCAATAGAAAGAACAACAACAAAAAAACAGAACTGAATGGTTGTGAAATTTTGATGCTCAGTCTTTGTTAAAGGAAATGATATGACAAGATAGCTCCCCTTGCTTCTTTTCAGAGATAATGGATTATAGATGGATAACTTTCATTGTCTGAGCCTTCTGTGATTATGAATAATTTCTTTTTAGTGTAAATTCTATGAAGTTACCAGGATGACAGTGGAAAAATCATAAAATAAAGAGTTGTAGTCTTATTGGCAAAAGAATATTTCAATTCATGGGAAAAGCAATGTCAATTTTTCATATATTTAGTAGCATTACTATTCTCCCCTACTCTACTTTTTATCCTTTATTACAACGGGTGGATATGTGGGAAAGGTGAAGAGGGACAAAGTGGGAAAAGTTTAAAAAAAGTGTCAATAAAACTTCAAAAATTGGGGCAGCTAGATGGCACAGTGGATAGAGCACCAGTCCTGGAGTCAGGATGACCTGAGTTCAATTCTGGCCTCAGACATATAAAAAACTCATTAGCTGTGTGACTCTGGACAAGTCACTTAACCCCAATTGCTTCACCAAAAAACCCCCCAAAACTTCAAAAATACATATTATTTGCTTGGGTAATATTCAAGAAGAGATCATCATATAATTATTTCAAATAGTTTGTGTTGATCAGATATGCTTTGCTTATTAAAGAATACTAGGATGGTCATAAAAATATTATCAGCCATTTTCCTCAACAGAGCAATAAATAAAAATAATGAGTTTGAATTTATATATACATATATATGCATGTATACACACAGACACACACACACACACACACACACACATATATATATGTATAAACAGATTTCAATTAAAAATTTAAAATCCGTTGGCTCTAATGGGCTGCTTTATAAGGAATTTAGCTCCTGGTCACTGGAAGTATTTGAGCTAAGGCTTAATAATCATATGTTAGGAACATGGTAGAAAGGATTCCTGCATTGGATGGTTAGAGGATAATCTCTAAGGCCCTAAGCTGGGACAAAAAGAAAAGCTGGGAAATAGCTGTTTGTAAAGCTCTTACAACATTTAATCACCAGCAATTGTGACTGACTTTGTTGAATAATTAATTCTTTCTATGAGTTCAATTTTAATGCCAGGTTTAACTCTATCGATATTCAAAGAAGCTAAGAAACAGAACACTGTTAATGTTACTCACTGAACACGTCTCCTCTGGGTTTCTGAGGATCTGTCGGTATTCTGTTGTCAACCGTCATTCCTCTTGGAGATGTACTTTCAATTGGTATTTTGGTTGAAAATGAAGGTGCCATTGTTGATGGCTTGGGCTGTGGTCTTTGCGTTGTTACTGCTGTCCATGGTGGTGGTGTCATGCGGACAGTAGTAAGTTCAGTTGTGTTTGGTGGAGGTGGTGTCGTTGGCTTTGGTGTAGGTCTTGGGGGCTTAGGAGTAGATCTCTCTGTATGAACAGTGGGAATGTGTGGTGTCCTTAGAGGCCATCTAGTAGTTGCAATATCAGGAATTTTATTAATATGTCCTCCATTACCTTTTGGGAAAGTATTATTTCCTTCTGATACATGAACTGGTTTTGAAGGTTCAATCATAACCTTTGGAATATCTGAAAGAGCAAAAAAGGAAAGAATCAAATTAACATGCAACCATTTCTCTGTCCAGGATGAAAAACAACAGAAGACATTACTCTATTGTGCTTACTTAAAAAGTGTGAATTATTTCTATGCTTATTCTCTGTGAATGTAAAACAAGTAATCCAAAAACTCATTAAAAAAACTACAGTTGGCTTAAAGTCCACTCTTAAATATTTCATATTACAGTCCAGCCATCTTTCAGAAAACATGGTGAGCAGATAAACTTCAGATGTATGTTCAACTGCTTTATGGGACTTTCAAACCTGAATGTTATTTATATAGTCATATGCCGCCTAATATGAGACACACAGTCAGAGACAGATAAGGGACAGAAATAGAGAAACAGAAACAGAGATAAATGGAAGAACAAGAAAAATATAACTGCAACTAAATGTTATGAAGTTATGATTAAGTTTGGCCCCAAAGAAAGGATATAGAAATGTACTTCTAGACCTTTGTGGAGATGGAAGACTCTGAGTGTGAAAGTAGACACAATGTTGAACTCAGTTCATATGTTGGTTTTAATAATCCATTTCTTTCTCAATCTCTCTCTCTGTCTCTCTCTCTGTTCTGTCTCTCTATCTCTGTCCCTCTCTCTCTCTCTCTCTCTCTTCAGATGGGGAGCAGATAAGGAAAGAAGGGATATATTGGGAAATGCAAGTGACAATGACAAAAGTTCTAAATAATTTTTTAAAGTTTTTTTTTAAAAAAAGACCAGAACTAGTAGTTGAACTGAACTGATTTTCTATTGGTAGATAACCTTGAGACATCAACAGAAAGAAAAGAAAGTCCCTTGCCCACTGAGTAGACCCTCTATGGTGAATTGATGGGAGAATGTAGCTAAGAAGGTTGCCCAGGATGGGCAGGCATGGCTAGGATGGGAACAGCATCACTGAAGGGGGAAATCACACAAAAAAGATGACAAAGTCAAGGAAGTTCACCTGTTAAGATAGTAATTGACTCTGAATACAACAGCTCTAAGCCCTCCTCATTCTTCATCTTGAATTTGCTTACAAATTTCATAGCTCCAATGGGCAAAGAAAATGATGATTAAAGGAATGCTATGCACATAAGAAAGTCTGGAAGTTAAAGCTTGAGCACAGTCTACCTTCAGCAGAGTCTAAATGCCAATGACACAGAATATTTCTGAATTAAATATTAATCTAATTGACAGCTTTCACTTGTCACAGAATTCACCTTCCTAATTCTGAGGATTAGATTCCTAAAGCTAAGGATCTGTAGACAAAACAATGTAGTCAGGCAAGCTGAAATGCTTTTTAATCTTGGATGCAATATTACATCTTTTATTATTTATAAAACAATATTGGGTGACTTTAGTTCTTATGAAACTCAGAACAATATTGCTGTTAGCTACGTGTAGAGCTGAAATTTAGTTTGTGGTTCAGTTGCATCTGACTTTTTGTGACCCCATTTGGGTTTGTTTGTTTGTTTGTTTGGCAAAGACACTAGAATGGTTTGCCAATTCCTTCTCCAGTTCATTTTACAGAGGAGAAAACTGAGGCAAATCGGGCCAAGTGACTTACCCAGGGTCATAGAGCTAGTAAGTGTCTGAAACCAGATTTGAACTCAGGAAGATGAGTCTTCCTGACTCCATACCTGGCACTCTATCCATTCCATCACCTACCTGCCCCTCTGAAATTTAGAGTCCTAGATAAATGACCTTCTTTCTCATCATTCTGAGTAGATTATTTCTGTGTTTTATTTGTTGTTGGAACTCAGGACAAAAAGATAACTATGACTTACATATGCAGTTTATGCCATCTCCCCGGTAGCCATCCCTACATTTACACTTGTATGACCCGTATACGTTGTAACATTGGGCAAAGCTGCTGCACTGGTATTGACCAAGAGAGCATTCATCTATATCTAGGGCAGAAAAAGGCAATAAATCTATTTAGTGGAGAGACAAATGAGAAGGGCTAAAAAGATTCTCTTCATATATTTCAAATTTTACATAGCAAAACTACCCAAAAAATCAACAAGAGAAAATGATGATGCTACACAAGTGAATATATATGCATATATGTATATATGTATATTTTTATGTATGTTGTTCAAAGACCCTTGCCCAAACAAATAACACAAGGACTGAATTTCATTACCATGACACTGGTATTTGCCTCCAATATACATGAGGTCAAAGCCTTTATGGCACTTGCAGATGTAGCTTCCAAAGGTGTTCACGCATTGCCTAAATCTGGGGCATACAGCTCTCCTAGCTGCACATTCATCCACATCTAGAAATACAAACAATACGACTTTATAAACAGCGAGGACTGAAATTGCTTAATTCAGAATATATATCCTTTACTGAAGTCCTGCTCTGATGCTTCAGCACAGCATGGAAGGTGACCCTGGGCATTCTTGAAGGCTTTGCCAGGTGAACCCGAGCCTTAGCAAAGCCTGCTGAGATGAGAAAGCCTGTTTGTAGAGACGCAAGGGTGAGATGATGCATCTTTTGAGAGAACAGTTTGAACATGTTCAAGCAGGCTTACCCCTTGAAGACTGACCACCAGATGATGAAGTTTTGGCCACAGTTACTCATGAAACTGTCTACACTAAGGCATAGAGGGGTTGCAATCTGTATTGGTAGAGGAAGTGTCCACAGTGATGAGATCAAAGATCTTTCTAAAATGAGTAATTTTTTTTAAAAGATCTGAACTGTCCATAGTTGAAATAATAAGTCTTACATAAAAAAAAAGTCTTCCAGTGAGTGTAATGACAAGGTTTAGTTCATGTCTATGCGTGTTTGTTCACTCATTTGTTAAGTATATTAAGTACGTAGAAACACACAAAGTGCATAGAGGAAATTTAGAGTAGTTGATAGAGTGATAAACTTCAAGAAGACCAGAGTTCAAATCTTTCCTCTGATACCAGGTAAGACTAGAGAGAATGGGAGCGTCTTTGCATCCTGAGTGATTAGTACAGTGCCTAGCACATGGCAGGGACTTATTAAATGCTTACTGATTAACTGACCGACCTGGACAAGTCAATTAACCTCATATGCTTGTCTAGGGAATAAACATTTATTAAGTACCTACTATATGTGCCAGGCACTGTGGGCTGTTCAGGCATTTCAGCTACGTCCAGGACCACATTTAGGGTTTTCTTAGCAAAGATACCACAGTGGTTTGCCATTTCCTTTTCTGACTTATTTTATAGAGGAGGAACTGAAGCAAACAGAGTTAAGTGACTTGCCCAGGGTCACACAGCTAGTAAGTATCTGAGGCCAGATTTGAATTCAGAAAGATGAATCTCCCTGACTGCAGGCCTGGCACTCTATCTGCCTGGCTACGCTGCCAGGCACTGTGGTAAGTAATTTATAAATATTATCTCATTTGATCTTAACCACTGGATCAGAGTGATGGGAATCCCCTACTCTGAGGCTGAGGACTCCCACACTGAAATCATGAAATCCATAAGTACTCTCACACATGCAAAGTACATAGTTCTGTACATGGCAGACAATAATAAACTTGTTGAATTCTGTAGCATATAGAGTTAAGCCATGATTTCCTCTTTTTCTCTAACTAGTTATGAAGCATTCATACAAGTACAGGTAGACTTCCCTCTGCTCCCCATTCCATCATACACACTGCTCACCCTTTACCAGAGAGCAGGTGTGGACTCAGTTCCATTTTTACACTCACCCACACAGGTCCTCCCGTCTGGCCCCAGCTGTAAACCTGGTGAAGGACAGCGGCAGCGCACATCACCTTTCATCACATCACAGCCATACTGACAATTCGCCATCGAACACGACAGGGCACCTAAAAGGAAACAGAGACTTGTTCATACAAGGCGGGAGAAGAAAATGGACCCCACTCCAATTGAGGCAGGTCCCTGAGGACTCTGGAGAAATAAAACACGAAGGTTTTTCATCCAAAGGATTTGCAGATTGGATCTCCATGGGCCATGCAAAAAGGAGAATGCATGGAACCAGTTATCTGGATAGCCCAGGCTTACTTCTCACCCTTTCCCCAGACTACTATCTCAAATGCCTGATTCACTTTTCTAGCAACATATAGAAGCAAATGTTCCTATGAGGGTTTCCCCAGTGACCTGCCCAGTCTGAGACAGTCATTCATTCCAAGAAAACCTCATGTTACCTCTACACTATGCCAAAACTGCTGACTACTTCTGTATGACAAAGGCTGAAGCCAACCCTTACAAGCATGTGTAATTTGATGCAAAGCTTACATGGACCTCAGAGTATTCTATAACTTTTTAGTCCACCTGACCCCACACTAGGAGTATATTTAAAAGACACTAATGAGACAAAATGTGCCTCTCTTCCACTCTTTGCTGCCTGGCTAGTTCAAGTAAGAAAGCTCTCCTGAAAATTTACGGGTGGAGAGAGGTGCTGGACCCTCTCCATTTGGGATGACATGTAACCTGAGAATTTGTTCTTTGCCTGTCTCTATTTCTTCTTTGCTGTTTTAAGATAAAGAATTATTAGACTAGGCTGAAACCTAGTGAGCATTAAGTTTGTGAGAGTCAGTCACCAGAGGTCCAAAAGCTTAAGTCCATACCAGATTTTGTGGATAGCTGAGTCAAGTGGGGAGTTAAGCTCCTAGTAATTCATTTCATCCAGCACAGCAGCAGATGGAAGGTAACCTAGAAGGAGCAGCAGTAACTCCTCCATTGGCTATGACTCATTTAGAAGTGAATTTGGTGGGCTGAATGCCTTGTAGCAACTACTTCAAGGCTGTGTTTATCTCTCCAGAGACTAAGGTGGTTATAAGGGACAGTGTGCCTCCCAAGTCAGGAGGGGAAACAGTTCATAATTTCTGTTCTCGTAGCATCTTCTCAATAAATATCCCTTTGTAAAAGTTAATCGATATTAACTAGTTAAAAGATACTGGAGTGATATTCACTGGGATATGTTAGTGATATAAGAGAGATATTTGTTATCACTAGAGACTAACATTGAGGAAAACACATCGGAAAGGGGCTTTGTGTCCTTGGCATGAGAAAGACAACCCCCAATCCCTCAGGGCTACCCCTAGACCCTGAAGGGATATATTGTAGTCTTGCTTTAAGGAAGCAATTGGGATTTGGGAGAAGGACTGCAGTTTCTATATTGGCTACATTTGTTTAGTCAGGTGTTTGTTTGTTTTTTTAATCTACATAGTCAATTCATTGAAAATAAGCAGCCACATCAGTTGTTTGGCACAGTGTCAGAGGGCTGCATTTAGAGCTCAGAAAAAAACCCAAATGCTAGAGCAGGTAAGCACCTTATTATCCCCATTCAAAGTAACCATCTATAAGAAGATGACTTTTATTCTTTCTTTCTTTCTTGGTTTTTTTTTTTTTTGGTTAAACCTGTGATTTTATCAATGTAGGGATCAAAGCCGATTGTTAATTAATTATCAAAGCAGATTGACACCTGCTCTGCCACATTGAGTTAAGTGGCCTGGGAGGCTGAGAGTTTAAGTTACTTGTCAAGGGTTACATGACCTATCCATATCAGAAGCAGGACGGGAAATCAGATCTTTCCGACTTTGAAGTCAGCCTTTCATCTACTACACCAAGCTGCCTCTTGATAAGATAATAGGAAGAGTTAAAATTGTGGAGGTACAATTTATGTATAACCACAACTACAATTTCTTTAAAACACAAAATCGTGGTTTACAATTAGCAAGCATTCAGGTTGTCTGATACATAGCAAGAGGTTGCTGCCCAGCTTTATAAAGAATAGCTAAAGAAAGTTAAGGAAGGGTAGAGAATTGTAGATATCTGTTTGGGAAATGTCATGACCAAATATAATTCTATTCTTGTGTAGATCTAAGTACCAAGATATCTAGCACATCAATTTTAAAAGGCCACTTGCAGTAAGATAATGCTGTATATTTATTTTGAGTGTCTTCAATTTGAATTTTAAGCCAACATCTACATTAAAACAACAAGCAAATTGAAATATGCAAGTTCCTTTTGAGATGGAATGAGGAGACTCTCACAATGTATTTGAAGTATCATTAAAAAAAAAACCCAAGCCAAGAGCACTTCCAAAAAGGTGAGGGGGGGAGGGAAAAGGAATATTGACATACTTGAACAAGATCCATCTGCCATAAGCATGTACCCATTTAGACAGTAGCACTTGTAGCTGCCATAAGTATTCATGCACCGATGCTTGCAGGGCCGGGGCTTGAGACCACATTCATTTAAATCTAAAAAGAATGGGGAGAGAAGTGGGGTAGGAGCAAAGACAAAAGACTTCCAGCATCAGACCTGAATCTATTAACTCATTATAGAGAAAGTGAGTGTGAGAGTGTGTGTGTGTGTGTGTGTGTGTGTGTGTGTGTGTGTGTGAACACGTGTACGCATATGGATAGTTACAGAAAATGGGAGAGAGAGCACGGGAACTGAGTATTGAAGACTGAAAAAAGAAAGCTGTCCTGCTCTCACTTTTTCAACCTTTTCAGAGTTGAATTCAGATTGATGGTGAACACAAGCTATTTTTATCTGTAACACAGATGTTTGTGCCAGAGGGATGGACATCTGGCCTTCCAGGGTCAGATGGACATCCCGCGTGGCTCACCCCAAAAGTGGAGTCCGAGAAGTACTCCCTAAAAAAAAATTCAGCTGACTTGACATTCAAAGAGAGCTGAAGGAGAAATATTAACCTTATGAGAAGCAGAAATCTGGCTGTTGGTGAGAAAGGGAGGTGAGGACTGGGAAGAATAAATTGATTGTTTTTATTAATCTATTCTACTCAACTTATGGGAGCAGAATAGGCCAGACCTTGCATTTTCACCCTTCAAGTCCTCAAGTATGACCCTTTGACAGAATCCAAACTTCACAGACCAAATCCCCTCAATAAAAGGATTTGGTCTGTGAAGTTTGGATTCAGTCATAGGGCCCCACTTGAGGACTTAGCCTCGAGGCCACAGGTTCCCCGTCCCTGCCTAGGTTGAGTTGGCTGTTACCTTCCTCTTCCTGAGTCTTATTTTTTTCATATCAATTTTTTTTTTTAAAAAGATACCTATCCCAACTTATTTCATCAGATGAGAACAATTTGTTTAATGTCTAGATGCCTGGAGCTTTTCAGAGGAAAGGTGCATCTTTAGAGCAAAAGTACTAACCTAGTCCAGATATTTCTGGGTTTTTCTTTAGACCAGACCCTTGATTTCATCAGTGTAGAAAGGGAGGCATCTCCTTTCTTAATGCAGGCCAGTACTTCTTTGCAATGTTTTAGAGAGCTGCCTAGGACAATGAGATTAAGTGAATTTCTCAGAGTCCCACAGCAGGTTTGTTTTCAAAGTAGGAATAGAACTCCAGTCTTCCAGACTCCAAAGCAGGTTCACCACCGCTATTCCTAGCTGCCTGTCATTATTAAAGGTAGAATTGTTATCCTTAGTGATTCATTTATCCACGTTATATCTATCAAAGATTAAAGACTGAAACTGGGTTTCTCAGTTTAGTAGCACATTTTAAAAAGCAGCAACTGAAAAAACCCAAAGCTCTTAACCAATTTAATCTAGGACATTACGAGGGCAATGTGGAAATACTAATTTAGATATCAAAAATTGAGCATTATTGATTTCAGGTTTATCGGTTAACTACAAACACACAATGAATTAATGAAGTACACATTATGAAAATTTCCACCTTCAAATCTTGCCCCAAGTGAACATAAAGCTCATAACAGGAAATAAATATTGTGAAATACTAATGTCAGGATTATAGACTTCATTAAAAAGAAATGTGACCAGCTGTTTATTTTCTCTGGAATCGCCAGTGTAAGCACTAAATTAACATAACTTCTATTGTTTATAGGCTCCTATTAGGAAATCTGGAATACAGATTATCAATATATATATGGTGAATCTTAATCTTTAAAAAAAAAATAGTTCAGCTAAAATGTGAGCTTATGGCTTATTACAGGTCTATCCATTTCATTTGACAAAGTGATTAAGTTACAGTATGTTTAAAATTGGAGTTGCTTCTCACAAATCCTCATACTCTATCTCCTTTCAAGGTCTGATTTTCTTCCACACTAGCGCACCATAATGGTAATGGATTAAGCCCCACTTTTTTTTTTCTGGGTGAAACTAGAGGGAAAAAAAAATCCTAACATTGAAATGAGATCCCATACCACTATTCTATTCTGCTTTCTTACTTTGGATAAACTCAAGGGGCCTCAGAAGAAAATCATATCTCAAAAGATTTCAGGAGGAAATGTTCATTGTAGAAGGGACTGGCTACATAATCCATTGTCTACAAAAATCTCTTTTCCCCTGTCTCTGATGGATTGAAAAATCTCAATTAAAGTGAATTAAATGCAACAAGGGGCTTCCCTTCCCCTTCTTATTCACTTCTAAATTACATTTTAATCTTTATTATAAATGAGACTCAAGGAACCACTTCTTAGGACTATTTGAAAGTGGCAGAATATGTTATAACGGATAAATCCCTGAAATTCATATATAGTTTAAAATAGATTACTATATATTTAATACTATAGATATAGCATTTAAACCTGAGCACTTTCTGTTGGAGGATGGCCTAATATCATGTTATCTGACGAATACAAATTGGATGTTAAATACAATTAACATTCTGAGGTTTTTCTTTTCTTTTTATAGGGATGTCCTCTGTTTATAGTTACTTCTTGACATAACCATATTCTTCCAATAGACACCTCCAAAACAATAAAGAAAAACCACTAAAATAAAGCCAGGGAGTGATTATATATGATAACGTGCAAAATTCATGACCAACTTGTGAGTTACACAAGACTTAACTTTGATGATGACAAGACTAGTCAGCTTCAAGTTCTGTTTCTGATACATGTTAGCTGCCTTCAATCTCTCCATGGCCCCTGAGGCTCTGCAACGCTGTTAGCTGCAGAGAAGGTTCTGAGCTGCATTTGTACGGTGAGTTTTCTCAGCTAGGAGCTTCTGATGAAATCACGGGTCTGGACCAAACTCCCCCAAATGGTTAAATACACAGGATTATTTGGCTACTTTTCTGTGTTCCAAATGACCATTTTAGTAAACTGTCTTTCAGATAAAGCCTCATTCTCTTTGACACAAACTGGCTAGTTACAGATAGCAACAATTATACACACATCCTTGCATTTGGGGTACTTTGTATGTGAGCGTGCATATATAATACACTACTGTTATTATTGTTCAATCATTTTTCAGGTGTGTCCAACTCTTTATGATCTCACTTGAAATGTTCTTGGCAGATACTTGCATGCCATTTCCTTCTCCAGCTCATTTTACAGATGAGGAAACTGAGGCAAATCAGGTTAAGTGACTTGCTCAGGGTCACATAGCTAGTAAGTGTCTGAGGCTGGATTTAAACTCAGGAAGATGAGTCTTTCTGACTCCAGGCCAGGCACTTTATCCACCGCTATCTAACTGCCCATATAGTATATACATAATGTAAGTACTTCAAATATCCCTAACGCCCACAAGGTCTGTCCTTTAACTGAGATATACACTTGGCCCATAGATGACCACCTACAGTGGTCATTCCCTTATAATTTGGACTGGGAAGAGCCTGAGAGGCCTGCTCTATCCCACAGCTACTCTTAAAAAAAAAATCAAACAAAAACTATATAGCATGTTGGGAAGAAGGAAACATAAAATTTCTAAAATAGGGGCCAGAATTGATTTTTTAAAAAAAGTTAGGACTTCACTATTCTAGAAAGTGTAGAAGTATAGAAGAGATTATATATCTATTTCTAGATATCTAATGTATGTACATATGTATATATTAAATATACCTCATTCCAATGACTTGTTTTCTTCTACAATTTATAGTTTCAGGAAAAAAAAATAGGTATGTTAGATATAAAATGAGCGTGGTAGAGTGGATTGAGTCTCACAACCAGCAAGACCTGGGTTCCACTGTTGATCTATACTGATAGAAGGAGTTTCTTCACAGATCAGGAAGATTTTTACATACATACGTGCATACATACGCACACACATATGTATATATACATATATGTATATGTGTGTGTAAATATATGTGCATAAGTATACATATAAAATATATAGATAGTGTGTGTGTGTGTGTGTGTGTGTGTGTGTGTGTGTGTATCCTTGAGGATATACGCATATACTCATGCATTTAGGTTGAAAGGCCATTTTCCAAATGACACACAAGACATTCTAAAAAAGTTTAAAGCAATTTGAGAAAACTGTAACTAACAATTTGTTGACAGTACTGAATGATTCTTCCTGACAAATGGCAATGCCTTGATACTTACCAGTGACTGAAATAGTTTCTTCTTCTGACACATAACATGTATCTCCTAAAAAACCCTCAAGCTGTCATTCACAGAGGTCACCACGGAATGCCTGAAGTTGAATGTCAACAATAACTAGTGATTGTCAGCATTCACTAAACAGCTGGCATTCACTCTAACAGGCAGCTTCAAAAGGCGAGATGGGCCCCATGTTATAGTGTCTGCCCCTCCCCACCAACTGCCAAGGTTTTTAATTACTTCTTCCATAACTTTCTTGAGAAATTGTTTCTATTATATTTTTTAATATGGATTTTTTTTGCTTTATAGACTCAAGTCAATGTGGGCTGCCAGAATTAAGTACCATACTCAATATCTGCTGATGAATAATATGTATATATGTTGATATAATAATATAATGATGAAAAGTCCTATGACAATTAAGTCAAAGTTCAACTTCAACTGCTATAGTATGCCTGAACTTATAATAAATAATCCCACTCTAGGAAGGAAGGAAGGAAGGAAAGAATGGAGGGAAGGTGAGAGAAAGGAAGGGAGGTAGGAGGGAGGAAGGTAGAAAGGAAATGGAGAGAGAAAGGACAAAGAGAAGAAAGAAAGAAAGGAGTGAATGATAGAAGAAAAGAAGGAAAGAGGGAAAGGAGGAAGGGAGGAAGGAACAAAGGGAGGGAAGGAAGGAAGGAAAGAAGGAAGGTTTTATGAAAGAAAAAAGGAAGGGAGGGAGGGAGGAAGATATTGCCTGGGAACTGGAAAATGAACACCAAAAGGTCAAAGGGAACCTAAGTTAAAATGAGATTTTATGTCTTTTAAAATATATTAACTTTATTCTTGTTCCTTCATAACTTTAAAATGGGATATGAATTATAATGAAGGATGGGGGTAAAGGGGTGTTTAATGAATCCCATTATGTTATGGAGTTACCCACTTACTTCAAAACTAGAGAATTATAGAGTTAAGCCACTTAAATCATAATGCTGCAATTTTGTACACAATATAGAAAGGGCACATATAAACACAATGAGCACATTACAAATGTCACATGTCAAAGCAAGTTGGGTGGTTCAGGTGCTTGAAAAGGAAAGCAGGTTCAGGAGGTAAGCCAGGCTGCAGAGCTATATTCCATTTCAGAAAAAGAGGAGAAAATGTAAGTGCCAAACAAGGCCTAAGATCTCTGGCTAAGATTCATATACAAGCCTCTCAATCTTTAGAATACCTTCCATCCATATTGGATTACATGTCACTATGACAAGGACTTGGGTTCAAGTTCAGCCTCTGACATACATTAGCTATGCGGCCCCTAGGCAGTGAATTAACCTCTCAGTGATCCAAGCAACTCTCTTATTGATTTTAGAGAGGGAACTCCTCCACTGTGGTGGTTCACAACCTGTCTATAAATTTTAGTCCTGTTGGATTATATCCTATATGTTATCAAGTAGAATATTTTACAGAGCATTACACTTATTGGGAGTACCAGCAGTTTATGTTTAAACTGGTTCTGATTTAAGCACAGTGGTAGGATGTCAAATATCAATATGTAAATTTTAGTCATCTAAGAATATAAAAATATATCATCAAAATTTTATTTAAAAAAAATTCTGTGCCTACCACTGGTGACTCTGGGTCCCCATTGCCCTAAGGTTCTTGACAAAGCCACTGTGTCACCTTATCCTTTTTCAATTTCTTGTACATGCTGTCTTTCCCACATTGGAATGCAAATTCCTTGAAGGTAAATATTAACTTTTTTTTTGCTTGAATTTGTATCCTAATCACTTAGCACAGTACTTAACACACAGTAAGCACTTAATAAATGCTCACTGACCAACACCTTGTGCAAAGTATAAATGCAGAAAATATACCAATTGCATTTTGGCAGCCTTCACCTAAACTCTCTGGGAGTTCCTGAGTTTATGTCTGAATGAAGGACATAGTCTCTCAGAAGAGAAATTGTATTGCAAAATAATACCTTAGACTGGGGAAATTGGCTTATGATCTGATTGTTAGATGGCTGGATAGTCCATATTCAAAAGGAAAAAAAATCACTTCTACAATCTATCTGGGAAAAGCTGGCCCTTTGATGGCAAAGCCCTGTCCACATAGTATCTTTGCACTGCTATGATGTTGTCACTGCACTTTTACATGAAAACCAAATGATGACATCCTAGGCCCAAGAGAATGTTTTAGAAAGCATTGCAATGCCTCGAAGAAAAGTACAGCAAGAGTAATTATATTGAAGCATGGAGAATTGCTGAAAATGGAACCTGTCCATAGAGCCCAGAAGGGAGTAACCAGGAGGAAAGAGCTGTCCATTGGCTGGCTGCACATGCTCAGGGACTTCAGGCCTGGCTCCAAGATGGCAGCAGTCAGCAGCACATCATTCTTCAAGTACATTTGCAAGATGTTTGTATTATGTAATGGAAGCCGTGCAGGTGGGAGGTGCAGACCACCTGAAATCAAGCACTTTCTCACCCCTTGAAGGTAAATTCGTTGCACGAAGATCCAGGGGTTGGACGTAAGGCTGTTCACTGTGCTGGTCAAGAGGGGTTGGATAGAGGTGGTCATCTTCACACCAGGAAGAAGGTAATAAAAGTCAAAAGACCAACTCTTTGAAATGATCCAATTTCTTATCTCCAAAATACCTCCACATAAGTATAAATTACATCACATGTTAAAAAAATAAACCCAGTAGGTTTCATTAGCAGGGGAATTGAAAAATAACTTTGACATTGGACAGCAGATACATGCTAATTCCCTTCAAATTCCATCATTACCACTTTATACTCAAATATGAAAATGACCATAAGCCTTCCATTTGTATCATATTTAAATAGGCAAAGCACATTCACAGCCTTTGTCTCATTTGAATGTATATCACATAATATTCTCATAAACAACCATGTCAGGAATATACCTCCTAAATCAGTGTTCTCAAAGAGTGGTCTAGGGACTCCTGGGGGTCCCCAATACCTTTTTAGGGAGCCTGTGAGGTCCCTAAACGATACTAAGACATTTCCATTTTTATATGGTAAATAGCAATAGATACTGAGCTAGGTAGCTAGACACAAGCAGCTAGATAGATATAAACAAGAACTCTTTGGGCTCTTCAATAATTTTTAAGAGGGTCTTGAGACCAAAAAGTTTGAGAATTGTTATTCTAAACAATTCAGTCAAGACATAATCATAAAAGTATAAGACAAAAATACTATACTTTCTAATCATCAACATGGAGGAACCATCTCAAACCGAGGCAGTTATAAATGATGGAGGACTCATAATTACCCCAATTATTCTCTTTCACATAGCCTATATTTCAATAAAACTGGACTCCTGGATGTTCTCCACTTTCAAACATTTACACATGCCTAATATAAACTCTCTCTAACTCTACTGGATAAGATCCTTTTTCTCTTTCAAGGTATCACCTCTTCCATGAAGCCTTCCCTGATACTACTCACTAAAATTAGCATTCACTCTATCTTCAAATTTTCCTAAAGTACTCTGTTAGTCTCTCTCCTTTGACAGCTATCAGCTATGCCTCATATTACGCTTATCTGTGTATGGGTCATATCTGCTCAGCAGATTTGGGGATTATGTGTCAGCGTCCTATCTTCAGTGCTTAAGACAATGCCTTGCACATTTTGTGCATAATAAACATTGTTGAATTGACCTGAATTGCATCTAGACCACTTCCTTTTTAGGTTAACCATTAAAAAATATATTAAAGAACTATGCAACAAAAATTCACATCACTCTGACATTTCAGGATTACAAACATATGCATGATTTCTTTTTTTAAAAAAAGCCCCATTCTGAGTATCAGGAGGTATCACTAATATTTTCATTCAAGATTAAGGGATGATCTTAGGGTAAAGTCACTTTGTACTCATGCATCTCTGAGAGAAGATTTACACTGAATAAGTGAATGCTACCATTCTCAGCTTTCCAAAAGCATTGCAAGCTGGGTGGGAATCAAAGTAAAAAATTCAATAAGATAACAAACCCATATTCTCAGATTCTTACAGCTTGTTTTCACACCAAATTAAATGCCTGATATTAAGTGAATTTCAGCTCCTGCATAAGAAAACACAAACACACCTCTCATATTAACAAGGTCAGAGGCAAGTGCTGTCATTGCTGACAAACTAAAACAGGGGTTAAAGTGCATGGATGGTTATCCTTCAGAAAAGTGGTCGTATTTCAGATGAAACCCATCTGTCAGCCAAAGGTCACTGTCTGGTTCTGAGACACCAAAGGCTGATCTTTCCCTCAGCATACAAGAATCCGGCAAGATGAAACACAAAACCAGGTTGAAATTACAACAGTAACACAAATTTAGACATTCCTCCTTTCCTTCATGATGATCCCAAAACATCTGTCTGTGAATTCACTGGCACTATTTTCTAATTCCTCGAAAGGCAGACGTTCAGAATATAACATTTCATATTTTAAGTATAGGAGAATAAGGGGTGTTGCTTCTTTCTGGCGGGGTGGGGAGAGGGGTAGACAAATTGTACTTTTGATGATATTCAATTACCTATTCCCAGTCAGGACTATGTTGGCATTACTGGAGGAATTCAGGGGGACACAACACATCAAGCAATGAGTGCTTCCAGCAGGACCGTGAGAAGAGCCAAGAGCTTTCTGTATTTCTTAATGACTGCTCCAAGGCTGTGGGTTGTTTTTTTTTATATCTTATCTCAGAGGGGAGAATGAACCTCCAACAGCAGATTCACACTAAGCACCACAGACATTTGCTAAATTAAGTTAACTGGAAGCATTACCTGACTTCCTGCTTGAGATGGCTGCCCTATAAGCACTTGGAAACTCACAGGTGCCTTTCCCGGGCTGCCTGTATGAGGGCATACGGGCGGGGGATGAAAAGAGGTTCTTAAAACATGGGGCTCTTACCAGAGTCATTACTTGATACTCCTGCCTCTTGTTTTTAATCAAAATCTACTTTCCAAACTCAACATACTTTTTTCTTAAGCCCAATTCAGTGTGAATATAATCTCAGTCTCTTTAAGCTCTCCCAGCCCCCTGTGATTTTCTTCCTCCTGCAGGAAAAGTTTCATATACCAGTAGAAAAAATTTTCCATACATATGTAAATATATGTATATACATATATATTTAATACACACACATATTTAATATACCTATACATACATATATAATACATACATATGTATAGGGATGTATGTATACATGTGTATGTATATGTATGGGTATATATGTGTGTGTGTGTATATGTATGAAATAAGTATGTGTGTGTGGTTTTTAAAAAGCAAGACTTTTTGGAAGGAATATGCTTTAACATAGTCCTATAGTTTACAGTAGAGGTGGACCCTATATAAGGATCAATTCAAAAGTCAGTGAGTCACAAGAAAATCCAAAAATCCCCATACTGCTAAAATGAACAGTCTTCATCATGAAGGAGAAGGAAGTTAGCAAGCCAGACCCATAACTTTGGGAACAGAGTCTCTTACAACTCCGAATTTATGATCTTATGATCCAAGACTGCCTTTAAGGGCTGAGTCATCAGGCTGGGGCAAAGCAGTGCTGGCCTGAGCACCAATTTCCTCCCACCTATGCTGCTCACTTGCTCCCCAGGTATCGTGTTCCATACTCAACTCCATAAATGTGCCATTATTTACTTAGGTTTCCTTTTAACTTTTATGGATTTTTGGTGATATTCATTTACCTATTCCCTGTCAATAACTTCTTTTGGAGGGAGTAAGATCACTTTTTATAAGTTCAGCAGGTTCCACAGAGGGAGGAGGATACTTGACATCAAAGGTAGAGGGATAGGTTTATGTCTGTCTCACATACTTATTCTGGGGCATATGCTTATTGAGCAGAATAGTGAGCAGAATGGCAGAATTCCTCTTCTCCCCAGCAATATTAAAAGTATTATTCTCTCCTATCCTCTCTATTTTTTTCTCTCTTCCCTTCCCTTTCTCTACTCTTCCTTTTCCTTTCCCCTTCTCTTCCTCTTCCCTCCTTCTCCTTATTCTCTCTTCTCTTTGTCCCCTTCTCTTCTCATCCTCTTTCTCTCCTTCCTTACCTCTATCTTACCCTCCTTTCCTCTGCTTTCTCCTTTTTTCCCCTCTCTTCTCCTTTCTCCCTCTATTTTCTTCATTTCTCCCTCTCCTTCCTCCTTTCTCTCTCTCTTTTCCCTTTTTCTGTCTCCCTCTCCTCTTCATCTTCTCTTTCTCTCTTCTTCCTTATTTCTGTCTCCTCTTCCATTCTTTCTATCTCCTCTCCCCCTCCTCATCTCCCTTTCTCTCCATTTCCTCTCTTTATCTTCTTTCTTTCTCTATGTCATTTCCTCTTCCCCCCTCTTTATTCCTCTCCTAATCCTCATTCTTTCCTTCTCCAATGATGAGATTCCTCTGAAATTTAAAGAGTTATTCCTCTCATCTACCCAGATATCATGGAAGCTTTCTCCAGTCTGGCACAGATCTTAGGGCCAAGGAACTGAATAAATAGTCCTAAAATAATATACCTGACATCCCATAGAGCTCTTCACTTCTCCTGAGGCATACAAAACCACCAATGGTCTCCAGCAGCATTGACAACTTCATTAACAAGCAGCTAATAAGCATCCAATGATGACTACAGCAAACATTCAGCACGGATGCAGATTAAACACAACATAGCATATGCCCTTCCAATCTAGTAAAGAGAGAAGACAACTATAATGCAAGTTAGAATACGCCAAGTGCAAAAGGGAGATCAGAGAGACATAACAAGAACAGTAGCTAATACTAGCTAGTACTTATATCACTTTAAGGTTTGTAAAGAACTTCACAATTATCTCATTTGATCCACAAGACATTAAAAGTAAGATGGATCACTTCCAGCTCTGGGGACCAAAGGAGACTTCATGAAGGTGGAACCTGAGATGGCTCTTTTAGAAAGGGAAGGATTGGGGCAGCTAGGTGGTGCAGTGGATAGAGCGCTGGCCCTGGAGTCAGGAGGACCTGAGTTCAAATCCGACATCAGACACATAACACTAGCTGTATGACCCTGGGCAAGTCACTTAACCCCATTGCCTAGCCAAAAAAAAAAAAAAGAAGGCAAGGATTTAATGGCTGAAAACATGGGGAAATCAATTAATATGCTGGGTTTGGAGGGAAGGCACTTAAGAATGGAATGGGAAGTGAACAGAAAAATAAGGGGAAGGAAGAGTGGGCCAGTTTGGCTGTGACATCATCTGTGACATCAGGCTATAAAGGCAGGTCAGGGTCAGACTGTCAAGGAGTGTCTAGACCATCAGTCTAGGGGGTTTGTATTGTACTAAGCAGTGGACAGACTCTGCAAGAAAACAGCACTATCAGAATTGGGTTTTAGGCTGTTTACCTTCACAAGACTGTTGTTATAGTACACCTCATTCTCAGGCTTCTTCTCACATTGCTCTGCATCCCATACCTGTGTTTTTTTTAAAGATTACTCTATCAGGGATTTGGAGGATGAATGGGAAAGTGAAGAGTTTGGAGGCAAGAAGATTAGTTAGGAGAGTCTTATAATAGCTAAGGCTAGAGGTAAGGAGGGCCTGAACCAG